AGAGAGAGAGAGAGAGAGGTGTGAAAATCTCCTTAATCTCACTTAAGAAGTTCGTGCCTCTCTTTATTAAGTATGTATAAATGTATTCTGCAGTTATGCCCCTGACTATGACAACATGATACAAAGCAAAATATAAAATGACTACAATTAAGATTATACATGCGTACATATTCTTAACCAGAACATCCAAATGTTGTAACCGGATGACTTTTCTACGTGACTCATGATGCGGTCATTAGATCACTTAGCCTGCAGGACGTCTTTGTAGCTTGATGATCTGCTTTCCTTCCTCAAGGTAGAGGAAGAAAGGCATAATGGGAAAGGAAGCATATATCCTGCAATGTAGAAGAAAGGCATAATGGGAAAGGAAGCATATATCCTGCAATGTAGTGCATCGTATGCGATGATCCCTTAGTGCAATGTGAAAGGGGAGCTGTCGTTGAAGCTTGACAGGCTCATCTCCCTCCTCAAGGCAGAGAAAGAGGCACGAATCCTTGGAGTGCGGTGCACACTATCAAACTGAAGTTACTGAACTTCAATGGAAGTTCAGTGGGCAATCCTAGCCTTGCAAGAGTAGGTGGACTACGAGGGGACTGTCGGGGTAAAATGTTGATGACTTATTTGTGCGCAATTCATAAATGTGATGCAAATGATGTGGACGCATGGTTCGCGCTGCATGGATTTCGAAGGGTTGCGCAGAGGTAGACCAATATAATTTGAAGAATTTAGGATGCTTACCAAAAAGGTTTCTGTTTTCCTTTATCCATACTTTAGAGTGAATGCAATTTGGAGAGCCTGCAGCCTGTACCCATACTTCATAAAGAAAAACATATATAGATATGCACCAATTTTGATAGTCTCGAGACCATAGTTGCTGGGGATCTCTGAACCTGGGCGATCCCACTCCTGTGCTCCGGTAAGGGATCTTCAATGGATATCGATTTTTAGAATTTGGGATCGTTCCCTATTGTTAAGGATCATGATCCCTACTATTAGGAATCTCGATGGACACCTAAAGACCAAGATGACAATCAAACTTTTGATTTTTTTTTTTTATAGCTAGCTAGTAGTACAACTATACTTTTAATATAGTTGCATTACTTTCTGACTATAAAATAGAGAGATTCCTACTTTGAAGGGTATATATAGTCCTAGACTGTATACTCTTTAAGGTTGGGATCAATATCACCAAAAGGTTGGGATCTTGATCCCTAACATTTGACTTTCTCGATCCCTGCGTGTTCATTGTACAAATGGTACTCCAACCAAAGGATCGTCTAGCCTTTCATGATCATGCGCTCCCAATCCCAATCCTGATCCCACTCTGACTTTGGATCCCAACAAATATGCTCAAGATACTCAAAATGCCTGAAATTATTGTTTAAAGGAAAAATCTTAGCATTCATAGAGAATTGATTTTGATTTGTATGTGTATCTTGGATATGGGGAAGTGAAGGAAAGTAAGCGAATCATTTGTAATCATAATGTGGAAGTTTGGGGACAAATATGCCCGAGTCATTCCTTTGTCTTGTGCAGGTTTAGGTAGGTCTAAGCTGGAATAAATGTGGACTGATCTCTGATGGTCAGCATTCTTGGCCATTTTTGTCATGGATTTTGAAACGAGTGAAATAAATAGGTCTTCGGCCATCGTCCTTTGCTTTTCTCAAATCCATATGCTGGGACCTGGGCCATGTTGAGACTAGAATTCTAAGAAGCTAGTGAGCTACAATTGTTAATTGAAGGTTGATTATGAATATTTGCATTCTTTTACACTAGGCTTGGAAATTTTGATGAAGGCCCAAAAGGGATGTCTACCTCTTGCCTAGTCCCTTAGGCCTTGGGTTAGTGATCGACATATTGGTACGAGGTCAGGGGTTCAAACATTTGAAGCTTGTCCCAACAAAGCCCAAACAAGCTTGCCTAACATCTTTTTCTTTTCTTTTTACTTTTCCTTTTTACTCTGATGGAGCTATTTCTACAATGCTGTCTATTTCCATATCATCCGAAAAAAATGCTGTGTAGATCCTCTAGGTGCCATTAAAGATGGATGAAAGCAAAAACACAAGTTGCAGTAAGGGACATTCAACCGCTGAAGGTGACTGTCTATTTTTTGTTTTGTATAGCTGTGGTGGACAGGGATGAGATGAAACTTTGGCCACTTTGTACCATCTTAAATGCTTTTATAAACCTTGTATTCCTAAATCCTCATGATCTGATGGATTGACATCTACCTCTAGAGTAAATGCCATATAATGAATGAAGAACACATCACGTATTGCAGGAAACAAAATTAGTACCCTGTATACCTTATAATGTACTAAATCAATGGTCATTTGTAAACCTATGTGGTCCCTTACTTTTAAAGCTGCATATGCATATGGGCGATGGGAGATCCAACCCAACAACTCGAATCGCACTGAAACTTCTGGATTGGTTTCAAAAATGAGTCTCCTTATATTCTATATCTAATTAGTTGAGTACCTTTAGTGAGGTTGAGAAGAAGTCATTTAATTAGTGATGGACAAACACGTATTGCAGGAAACAAAATTAGTATCCTGTATACTTTATAATGTACTTAATCAATGCTCATTTGTAAACCTATCTGTTCACTTACTTTTAAAGCTGCTTATGCATATTGATGACCACTTACCGAGAGAGGTTTCATACCATAGTCTTGATCAGTGAAATTTTGTGGGAGAATTTATTGATATGATTGCTGTTTAGAGAAGATGTTGATAACTAGTCATTAAATTAAGGGGATGCGTTTAGCTGTTTGATGGTTTAATGCTACTGATCTAAATGTTTCTCAAGAAACTGATTCTGAACTACAAGATGCCTTCTTTGCCATGAGATTTGTTTCAAATATTGACTCACTTTCTTTCTTTCTACACTCTCAAATACACCACACATGCATATATCATATTTGATTTGTGTTTCATCTAAATGTCTCATTGAATTCACATCTGTTATTCTAGGATTTACTTATTGATTTCATTCACAGACAGTGGCTTCAAGGGTGGCTGAGGAGATGGATGTCAAGCTTGGAGAGGAAGTTGGATACACAATACGATTTGAAGATTTAACCAAATCAGTAGAATATCTTCATTACTAATCCTCAATCTCCTATCAGATTTTCATGCAAAGGAGTTCAATCAAATAGAAACCTCAAGTGCTTGCAAATTATCTCTCAGCATGATCTCCATAGGATCATTAACTCTTTTTACTTTTTTACTTTTTGAATGTTAACTTGGGACTTTGTGGGAATGGAACTTATTATGTCATGTTGTGGCACCCAGCCACTCTGACATCCTATGCCTTGAGCCCATTCCCAACTATTTATGTTATTGTCTTCATTGAATTTTCACATGAGCTTAGCTAATAATTCTTTGAGTATTTGGCAGGCTGTTACCAGGATCAAATTCCTAACAGATGGTGTACTACTACGAGAAATGATGGATGATCCTCTTTTGTCAAAATACAGGTGTTTACCTTTTTTAAACTGTAAAAAGGGTTTATATTCCCAATTCTAGATACTGAAGGTCATATTGGAATGTTTAGTGAATACTAATGTAATTGGCTGTCACATTGGATTTGTCATCTATTTGTCAATGCATGCTAATGGAATGCTGCCCTTCACTCATTTCACATATATGTAAAATTACTTTGTTAGTTACCTATCTATAACTCCATAATCTTCCATGTACCAATTTTTTTTTTTTTGAGAGTTGTTAAATTGTATTACTAAAGAAGGTCAGAGATTACAAAATGTGTTGGACTGAAAGCACCCTCACTGGGTGGCAATCAGTAAAAAATACATCAGTCGTTTACATGCAGTTGGGCTTAAAAGATTCGCCCTAAAGACAAGATTTACAGTGAGAAAAAGAAAGTTAAAAACTGAGCAGTGTCTTGGCGCATATGAAGGCGGGCTATCTAGAGCGGCTGTGGTCCTGAACAAAAAAGGAGGTGGACCTGGCCTGGATATCCATATGTAAGCGAGCTCCCTCCTTCGCCAGTAGGTCTGCGAGATCGTTGGACGTCCTCTAAGTATGCTGCCATAAGATGCTCGTACCCCTACAAAGGTGGGTAATTTCATAAAAAATGGAAGACAATTGCCAAGGTGGGGGGGACAAGCCTCTTGCCCAAGAGATGGTGTTCAAAGAGTCTCCTTCCACAATCAGACGAGTGCCCCAGGAAGGGTTGTGAAATCTCAAGCCTAGAAGAAGGGCTGAAGCTTCAGCGTATTCGGAGTCAAAGGTCCCAAGGTGCACAAAGAAGGACAAGAGGACATTTCGCTGGCAATTTCTGAAAACCACCTCAGCGCCTGAAGGGCCTGGATTTCCAAGAGAGCAGCCATCAAAATTTAACTTGATGCTGCCAACTGCTGGTGGCTGCCAGTTGCACGCTCTTGAGGGTTTTGAGGGCATGTGGATGAGGGCATTTTTTCAGTGAGAGAGAAGGGTGTTCCTAGAAAGGCCAGAGAAAGTCTTGTGGTTAGAAACCCAAAAGGTAGTCAGCGAGACAACCTTGTGGAAGAGAGCTGGTGGTGTAAGGTGGGCACCGTTGAAAATTCTGTTGTTCCTTTCAAGCCATAAGGTCCAAATGGTTGCAGCCACCGCGACCTTCCATAAGGCTTTTCCAGCTAGGGGCCACTAGGCTTCAAAATTGTAGGAGATCAAGGCTCCGACCGTGGGTGATGGGACCCAATGGATACCAAAAAGTTGAAGCAAAAGGGACCAAAGATTATGGGAAAATTCACATTGAATGAAAAGGTGAGGGTTGGATTCCTCCTCACAAAGACAGAGAGCACATCTATTGGGTGTAGAGAGACCTCGTTTTTTAAGTTGGTTGATAGTGAGGGCTCTCTGAAACTAGGCAATCCAATTGAAGAACTGAATTTTAGGTGGGCAATAGTGGACCACGCTTTTGACGAGATAGAAGTGGGGTTAAGGGGAAAGGTTGGGGGTTGGGTAAGTCTCTTGTAGAAAGAGGTAACAGTGAAGAGACCAGAGGGGGAGAGGCTCTAGACTATAGTATCACTCCTAGAAAGTGGGAGGAAGTGAGAGGATAGGGCACCAAAAAGTTGTTGGAACAACATGCTTTCTACATCCGAGAGATTTCTACAGAAGGAGGGAGTCCAGGTTCTCTGTCCACCAAAGAGAGGCATTTCATCGGCGACGGTAGAGTTAATATTAGAGGAGAGAGAGAAAAGGGTAGGGAAGGCCTTGCACGGAGGGGAATCTAAGGTCTGTCCAAAACTTGACCCTGCTGCCTTCTCGGGCATGGAATCTAAGGTGCCTTCTGAACTGAGGCAGTGAAGAGGCTAAAGACAGCCACACCCCTAATGCTCTGTGTTTCTGTATCCTCTCTGGCACCCACGTACAATCTAGTATATGGTATTTGCTGCGTAGCACCTGAGCCCAGAGGGAATTTGGTTGAGTGGTTAAGCTCCACCACCATTTGCTTAGAAGGGCAGTGTTTTTTTTCTGGGGGTTTGAATGCCTAGACCTCCTTGCTTTCTAGGTAGGCAAACAATGTCCCAGGCAACGAGGTGGAACTTGATCTTCTTTACCTGTCCTAACCAGAGAAAATTTCGCATAAGTTGTTCTATGCGGTTAGACACTTGTGTTGGCATCTGAAACAGGGATATGAAGTAAACTGGGATGCCAAAGTCGCTTTGACGAGAGTAACCCTTCCTGTAGGGTAGAGGTATCGACCTTTCCAAGGCGTCTCTCTACCTTGTCTAAAACTTGAGACCAAAGTCTCTGTTTAGGTTTCCCCAAGCCCAAAGGTAGGCCCAAGTAATTGGAAGGAGGTCTTCTACTTTACATTCCCAATCAAGGATGAGCGCGACAACTTCTTCTTTTAACAAGGCTACTCCCATCATTTTGGATTTCATCATGTTAACCTTGAACCCTGTAGCTTTCTGAAAGCACAGGAGGAAGAGTTTGAGCGCGTCGGTTTCTTCTCGGGGAGGCGTCAAGGAAGGCGACGGTGTCATCTGCGTATTGTAGGTGTGACACCATGGGGCCTTGAGAAGTGGTATAGAAGCCTGAGAGGAGGCCAGTCTGGGAAAGCGGGAGAGGGATCTAGAGAATACTTCCGCGGCAATGGCGAAGAGGAATGGGGAGAGGGGATCCCCTTGGCGGAGTCCCCTGTGAGCAGGGAAGTATCCTTTCGGTGACCCATTGATGAGGATGGACAAATGGGGGTCAGAGTAACAACCTCTCATCCAATTTCTCCATTGATTCCTGAAACCCATTCTCCCCATGGTTTCATCCAAGATGGACCAGTCGACGTGGTCGTAGGCTTTCTCTCAATCTATTTTGAAAATTAAACCCGGTTTCTTAGCTAAGTGTCTCGAGTAAAGGCACTCATTGGCTACGTGGATCCCATCCAGAATTTGTCTATTTTGAATGAAAGCGGATTGGGAGGGCGAGATAACAGTGGGGAGTACAAGCTGGAGTGGGGAGTACAAGCTGGAGTCTAGAGGCTAGGACCTTTGCAAGAATTTTGTAAATTTGAGTTCAGGAGGCTGATAGGGCGAAAGTCCTTGATTTCCTCTGCCCCTTGTACTTTTGTACAAGGATAATGAAAGTGGCATTAAGAGCTTTACGGATGATTCCTCTGTGGAAGAATTCATCGAAGAAATTCAGGAAGTCAATTATGAAAGTGCTCCAGAAAGTTTTGAAGGCTATCGGGAATCATCAGGGCCAGGGGCTTTATCAATGGCGAGGGCTTAATAGCTTGGAAGATTTCAGCCTCAGAGAAAGGTAGCTCTAACGAGGCAACTAAGTCTTCTGAGAGAGGCAAAAATTCTAGGTCAGCCATTCTAGGCCTGGGGCCAGTAGGGGCAGAGTATAGGGTTTGGAAGAACTGTAAAATGGCATGCTCAATTAGTGCTGGCTGGTCCAGAAGGCTGTTGTTAACTTTGAGTGTCGAGATGGTGTTGTCCTTTTTGCGACAATTGGCTATGTGATGGAAGAAGGCAGTGTTGAAGTCTTCGATTTTTAACCACTTTATTCGAGATCTCTGGTACCAATTGATCTCTTCTTTTTTGAGGGTAGCCAGGTAGTCTAGTTTGGTTGGAGCTCTGAGGTTAAGTTCTGAGGTGTCCAGGGCTTTGATTTTTTCGAGGTGGTCAAGGCTTTGGATAGAGTCCAGGAGGAGTGATTTGGTTTTGGCGTAATTGCCGGGGAGGGTTTTGCTCCAAGTTTTGAGGGAAGTTTTAAGGAGCTGAATTTTAGTCTGAAGTCTGTACTCTGCTTTACCCCTAACTTGAGTTGAGAAAGATGCCCACCAGGTAGGTATTAAAGAAGCAAGGGACGTCTCTTGTAACCAAGCCAGTTCAAACCGGAAGGGTTTAGGCCCTCTTTGCACAACGTTTGTATCCAGAAGGATGGGACAATGGTTTGACATTGGTTTGGGTAAGACTAGAGCAATGGATCCTGGGAAAAGTTCTTCCCAGCTGGTGGAAAAGTGGAATGATCAAGTTTAGAGAGGGTGGGATTGGGAGAGTGATTTGACCAGGTGAATTGGCTGCCCTGAAGAGGGATTTCGATGAGTTCATTCCTAGTGATGAAATAAGTGAAATCTCTCATGTCCTGGGAGATGGAGGTTGAGGAGTTTCGCTCGTAGGACCATCACGTGATGTTGAAGTCTCCTCCCAAACACCACAGGGGGTGTGGAAGAGCTGCAACGTGGTCCAATTCGGACCAGAGTTTGGGTCTGAGAGAGGAGATGTTAGGCCCATAGACGGCCGTGAATTTTCAGAGGGAGCCGACATGGATACTAGAGAGGAGAACGGTTACCAAGAAATCCCCTAAGTGAGAGGAAATGAGGGTGTGTTCCAGTGGGTTCCAGACCACCCAGATGCCACTTGAAGCTCCATTTGCCGGTAAAGCTACCCACTTGGTAGGTTTATTCCCCCAAATTTGGCGGATGAGCTGCAAAGTGGGCTCTGGTTGTTTGGTTTCCATAAGTGCCAGAACATTGGGAGAGTGTTTGAAAACAAGGTCTTTGACAACTTTCTTCTTGAGCTCTTGACCTAGTCCCCTGATGTTCCATGTAACGAACTTCATGGATTAGTAAGGGAGTAGGGGGTGGAGGCAAGAAATAAGAGGGACAGAGGGGGTGACCCGGGGAGGCTTGTCTTGAAAAGAGGGAGAGGAGAAGAGACTAAGAAGTTCCTTGTGCCCTTTGGGTCTCATCTTGAACCTGCTTGGCGGGTCAGCGGTTAGAAACTTGTGGGCTGGTCCTTCAGGTTCGTTATGGTGAAAACCCATGATTCTGTACATGCCCTTCCTTTTTGCGTCCATGCTCAAATCCTTATCACCTATGGCGTCTCCCTTCCCAGGGCTAGGGGTAAAATCGTTGGGCTGGCTAGGACCAACCAAGAAATCTACAACTATAGGCGGCGGCACTTCGGGATCGAAGGGGGGGTAAAGATTAGGGGGAAGAGGAGGAAGGTGTTCCAGAGATGAA